ATCAGAAACCATTCAGGCCACAGTGAATCCTGGGATTCTTCTTGCTGGAGGGAAACCTACTCACATGAGGAAGGGGTGACAGGGTTTGGGGAAGAAGGGCTGAATTTAATTTCAGCCTAAGCAGCCCCATCACGGTGCAGTTTGTGTGGTCTCCTCCCCAGAGCAGCGGTGGAAATGCTTTCTTAGACTTCCCCTGGGGAAAGACACCCTGAGTTTCCCTTCCAACTGTGTTGTGAGGCACATGATACTTTTACCTCCTCCTGATGGGGTTTTTTTCCCCCTAAACTGTCGTGGTCTCCTCCAGTAAGTCACAGGCACAGGTACAAAATCAAGCCCTGTGAGCTGAAAGCAAAATAGATTTTGGACTGCCAGTGGCAGAGGGCAGAAATCAAGGTATTGTTGGGGTGCCCCTGATCACTGCAGTGCTGCACCACAAGCCAAATATAACCCAAAAAGCCGTGTGGGGCCACCAAAGTGGAGCTGAGGAGACAACCTGGAGCTGAATCCAAGTGTCAAAGCCACGATGGTGAGACCAGCCAAGAACAGCTCCAAGCCAAAGGTGAGTGGCACACAGACACGAGTTCCTCGACATACAACACTTGGGCCTCTTTTTTTGGTCAATCCACTTTAAAAAATATTCAAGCCCCTGTTTTGCTAGACTGTGAATCCTTTAAACACACCAGGGTTGGTGCCTAGTTGGGGAATAACCACAAGCCAATTAGAAGTTAAATTGTTGAGCAGTATGCATCTAATTGAAGTCTCTACTTTCTGCCCACTATTTTTAGTGTTTGGCCTGAGCTGCAGCTCCATGTAGGGTATAATCATGTTTATTTAAGAGCAACATGTACCTCAGTGAGAAAAATAAAATCCAGCAGGCAGAGCTGTTTTTTTACCAAATGTACATGGGTGGGTGGTAGAGCTCAGGTCTAGACTGCTCTGTCTCTTGCTGTACCCTGTGTCCCATCAGGAGCCTCCTCGTGTGTCCATGCACATGCTTTGGCGTGATGTGCATTTTCCCTGCTCTTTTATTGTGATTTATTGTCATCTGTTAGGTTTTCTTGATCCTCTTCTACGTAAATTGGAGCAGGGTTGTGCTGGAGCAAAGAGATGGGCTGACACACTCGGAGGATAAAAAGAAGAAGGTGCTGTGAGTCAGTCCTGAGCACCCTCCCCTTTTCCCAGGGTGTTTGGGTATGATTTTGGATATTTAAGGAGTGATCTGAAGGGCAACAACAAGGGGATCATGTTGGAGTTTCTGGGAAGAAGAGGGAGAGAAAATGGTTCTTTGTCAGAAGTTTTCAATTTCTGTGCTCTGAGGAGCCAGGGAATTGTGAGACCGGGGTGGGACAAACCCAACATCAGGTTGGATGCCTTGAAAGTCGAGACATTTTGTCTATGATGGATGAGAAGGGGGGGTTAGAAAGAGGAAGCGGGATAAGAAACCAAATCCCATCAAAAGCAGAAGAAAAGGACCTTTGCAGCAACAAGAGGGTCGAGACAGGTCAGCAGCAAATGCCAGAGTGGACAGCCCTGCAGTGGCTGTCGCTGGGCTGCAGATGAGACCCTCAGGGCAGTGCTGGAGGAGGTGGAGGGCAGGGAATTACCCCGGGAGCACATGGGACGTGCTGGGCAGGTTCCTCCTGGTAAGCACAGCCTGAGCAGGGAGGGAGGGGGAGCTGAGGAGCTTTGAGGTTGCAACAGAAGCTCTGGCTCTGACTAAACACCACCCAGCCACCCCAGTAAAGATAAGGAGGCAGATAGGGAGCCCGACTCGTGCCTTAAAAAGGTCTGTCTGTACCACGGCTGCTCGCTGTGACCTCATCGGCCTGTTTCCCTAAAACACCCCAAGGAAGTAAACAAAAACAAACCCCAAGCGGAATCCAGGGCTCTGCTTGTTCTTGGCAACATCTGATTTTTCTTATTCCTCTCTGTTTCATAGAAGTGAACAGCTCATATGCAGGCCAAGTCACACTGGGAGGAAAATGGTGGTAGATTTTTCTTTTTCAGGAATTTTGCTTACATTCCTCCTTCTCACCACAAAGAGGATTTGAGTTTGTTTCAGTGAGAAGCCATAAATTTTATTTTGAAAGTTCCCACAGTGATTTATCCTGTCTCAGCACCCCTGCAAAATGTAAAGTCAGTACTAAACAACACCCAGCAGTGCCCTTCCTAGAATACAAGCCTGGAAAGATCAGCCTCAGAACTCCATCCAACCCAACAGCAGCAGCAAATCCTTATGGGAAATAGAACATGTGAGACTCGGGGAAAATGGAATGTGGGAAGACTGTAAGTTTGGACTGGTTGGTGTGTCCAGGTCTGGATCTCCTGCTCTGATCCACAGAGAGATGGAGGAACACAGTCCTGTGTTACTTCAGCACAGGACACACAAACCAGTGACACCTGTTGGAAAAGGATGCACTTCCTTCACTGTTCTCCTCTCCGATGAAATTATTCCCTCCAGAAAAGACAGGAAAACACCCTTATTCCAAGCAAAGAGGGTAGTCCCTTTGCAGCAGGTTTGGGTGGATGAGGAGCTTTAGCAGCTCTTATGTGCTCCCTGTCCCCGGTTACAGGGCTGGAAGAGCTGCCAGTAAAGCTCCATAAAGTTAAATATTGTTATTTATAGTAATAATAATTAGTTCTTTCAGAAAATAGTTTCACCCCGAGCTGTTGCACAAGAAGCACCCCTTTTATTTTTAAATAACTCTTTGAAGCAGATGCTCATGCTCCCCTTGCTTCCACTGATCTTCACATCGTTTTAAAACTAAACTCCAAATGCCCCTAAAAACACTCGTCTGAGGAGATAAACCCTCTCCATAGTCACACAGTGCATGAAAGGGTCACAAAAATCCTTAAATCCGCTCGCTGGCATCAAGGGAAGAAGAGTTCCCCGTTTTTTTTATCCTCACCTCTCCTGACACAGAGCAGAAACCCGCCCGTTTTGGCTCAGAAGGATGAAAGCCCCGAGCAGAGGGAGCAGGTGAAAACCTCTGCAGCCGTAACACAGCGCAGGGAGCTCTGGGGCGCTCTGGGGGTTTGTTTTCTCCTCTGTTTGGGGCCGGGATTCTCTGACTGGGGAGTTCCCCCACCTGCCCAAGCTGCTCTTCGTCCCAAGCCGGGGCTTGGCCAAGCAAACCTTGATCTCGCTCAGGGTGGGAAGTGGAGCATCCAGGTGGTCCCGCTCCTCAGCACCCCTCGCAGAGCAGGAAAGGTGTGTGTTCCTGCACGGCCTCAAACAAATACACCTCATCCCTGCTAATCCGAAGGGATGTTTATTAGCCTTTTTTTCCTTTTCTCTCTCAAACAGCTTTTTTTTTTCCTTCCCCCAGTGCCTGACTTGTGTCCCTAATTAACACCTTAAGAGGGGGTGAGGATAACTGAGATGCTTAGGGAGGGCATTTCTGGGCAGAGCTTCTAATCTACCTCTCAGGGAGGGAGGGGACCCATTAGCAGATGATTTAAGGGAGTAATAAGTCCATCAACATGTAAATGGCCACGGCCCGATGAAAGGCTTGGCTGGGGCACAGCTGGGCCACACGGGCTGGTTGAGCCTCCTCCCTCTGGGAATCTGGCAGGGGATGTGCCCCAAATCCCGGGGCTGAGCGGCTGGGTGAGGGGAGGGAAGCAGCTGTAAGGGGATGATGGATGATGGATGGATGGATGGATGGATGGATGGATGGATGGATGGATGGATGGATGGATGGATGGATGGATATTGCGGGTTGGGCAAAGAGCGAGCGTGAGTTTTGCGTGAGAAAGTGGCGCTTTGCCAGCCTAGAAATGGTTAAAGGAATCCACAAGGAGGTAGAGGAGGGTGATCCGGGAGCCGCAGCAAACAAAGGGTTTCCCCTCCTTTGAAATAACTGCGGAGCAAGACGTGGGAACAAACGGTTGTTGCTTGTGGTGGAAGGAGGGGATGATCTCCTACAAGGATGGGTGCTGGGGTTGGGCTTTGCAGCTTTGCTCGCCTTTAATTTTTAATATTCATTCTGTAGGGGGCACACACTATGGGAAAAAAACCCATAGAATCATTAAGGTTGACAAAAACCCCCCTAAGAACGTTGAATGCAACCAAAATCCCCGTTCCCAACCACGAAAATATTGCAGGACAATATGGCAACACCAAGTGACTCCAGAAGCACAGCACTGTGGAAAACGTAGAGGGAGGTAGGAGCGTGTTCCCAGGAAACGTTTGGCTGCTTTGAGCTGGCAGAGAGATGACTAAGGGAGGGTAGGGATATGCAGTTGTTTGCTACTCTGTAGGCTGCTGTTTGACCTTCTGTTATTAAGGTTTTATCCAGTAACTGCCACCAAAGGAGCAGCGAATGGCCCGAGTCATGGAAGCTGCTCAGTGCCTGGTTTCGTGCTGTTGAGCAACCCCTGGCATTAACTGCAGCCCTCCTGTCTGAGTTTTTGCCGTGGTCTGCTGCTTACAGCTCATCTCTCCACACTGCTGAACCTCCTGGATTTGGGAAAGGGCCAGGTTCTGCCCCGGGAAGCTTCTGAGGGTGCACAGAGTCCTGTTCTTGTGTGGGGGTGGGGCAAAAAAATGTATTTCCGCCTTTCGCTCCCTCCAAGCCAGCCCAAAAGGGGGAAAGCCCACAGTAAAAACTGCCAAGTGAAGGAAAAATAAGCCTTTATTGTGCATGGAGCAGAGAGTGCTGTGATGGAGCACTGATGGCCCAGCACAGCCCCTCTGCTGATCCTTCACTCCCTCCTGCCTCCAAAATCGGGCAGGAGGGTGTTTTGCTGACACCTGCCCTCCCTGGACCCCTGGACAGAGTGCCCATCCTTGTTCTGGGGGCCAGAGGGTAGCGGTGGCCTAAATATTTCCTAAAAAGCAGCTGAATCAATAGTGACACCAACCAGCCTTCCCCACGGGGTGCTCTGATTAGCCCCCTCGCCCCCCATCCGAAGTGTCCCAGGAATGGACACTTCCCCCCCTCCCGTGGCGCAGGAGGGCTCCACACGCGGGGCAGGCACGCAGAGGCAGCTCAGGCTGGTTTGAAAGAGGAGTTTATTCGCTCGCAAACAGACGGTGGCATCCCTTTGAGCCGGGATTAAAAACCCAGTGTGTACAAAGTCTCAGTCCCTCGGAGAGCACGAGGCAGCGCCCCCGGGGAAAAAAAAACCCGGCCAGTCCCGGCGTTCTGTACAGCGCTAAGTGCCAGCTCAGTATTCACAACACAGTAACGTACTGCAAGAAAGTCGCTTTAAAGTAGTTCCCTTGAGAAACAACCTTCCCTCCGGCGGGGCCGGAGTCTGTCCCGGCGGGGCCGGGCTGCGTGCCGGTGTCCGTGTGTCCGTGTGTCCGTGTGTCCGTGTGTCCGTGTGTCCGTGTCAGTGCCGCTGGCAGGTGTGCAGGCGGGACGTGTCCCCGGGGCCGAGCTCCCGCTGCAGGCGACACGCCAGGCCCTCGGCACAGTGGCAGCGCTGGAAGATCTCCAGCCCGTGGGAGCCTTTCCGCCGGTGCCGGGTACACACCTGCCCCTCCCGCAGCACCGGCTTGCACATCTTGGACCAGAAGTGGCGGGCGCAGCACAGCCCGGCCGCGCAGTCCGACGAGCGCAGGCACAGATCGCCCTCCTCGCCTGCGGGGGACAGGGCACTCAGCGAGGGGACAGGGACAGCGGGGCGGGGGGGCAGCCTGGGCTCCTCCAAGGGGGGGCAGTGGGGCGGGATGAGCATCCCAGACTGATCCCAGGGGGACAGCAGGCAGGGGTGGGCATCCTGAACTGATCCCGCAGGGGACACTGAGGCTGAGTGGGCATCCTGGACTGATCCCATGGGGCACAGAGGTTCACGGTGGGCATCCCAGAGCAGTCCCACAGGGACAGCAGGGCAGGCTGGGCATCGCAGTCTGATCCCAGGGGTGACAGCAGAGATGGGTGGACATCTCGGACTGATTCCATGGGTGTCAGAAAGATAGGGTGGGCATCCCAGACTGATCCCACAGGGAACAGAGCGGCAGGGTGGGTGTCCCGGACTGATTCCAAGAGAGAGAGCAGGGTGGGCACCTCCCAGGGGCCTTGGGGTCCCAGCAGCACGGCCCCCTTACCTTTGGTCGTGGGGATCCAGGCGGGAGCGGGTGTCCGTCGGGGCAGAGTCTCAGTGCCGGGCTCCTCCAGCTCGGCGGCTCCGTGGGGAGGTTCCGGAGGGGTGCAGAGACCTGCGGGGGGCAGTGGGGCGGCTGTCAGCCACGGGTGGGACCCCGACCCCCTCCCGCGGCCACCTGCAGAGTGCCCCCAGCCCGCAGCCCCCGGCCCTCACCGTTGCTGCAGGTCATGCCGGGGCAGCACATGGCATCGCGCAGGCAGCGCTTGCGGCGCCTCCGGCAGGAGAGGCACAGCGGAGCCCCCCGCCGCGGGCCGCCCCCCCGCAGAACTCCTCGGGGCCGCAGTCCTCGTCCTCGGCGCACGGGAAAGGCTGCGGGGGGCACAGAAGAGGCGGAGGGGGGTCAGCGGGGCCGACACTCCCGTCCCCGGGCTGTGTCCCCTCCTCGGCACCCTGTGTGTCCCCGCTCCATCCCGGTGCGTCCCCTCCATGCCCAAGGTGTTGTCCCTACTCAATTCCCGCTGTGTCCCCTCTCCCGCCTCCACCCCGAAGTGCGCCTTCCCCGTCCCTGGTGTCCCCTCCATCCCCGAGGTGTCCCCCCGACTCCTTCCCCGGTGGGTGCGTGTGTGTGTGTGTGTGTGTGTGACCACGCCCTGTGAGTCCCCTCCATCCACCTCCACTGTGTCTCGCTCTTCTATCCCCGGTGTGTGCTTCCCCTCCATCCCCGGTGTCCCCATCTCCATTCCCGGTGCGTCTCCCCCCGTCCTGGGTGTCGCCTCCATCCCCGATGCGTGTCCCTTTTCCTCCATCCCCGGTGGGCACAGCCGCTCTCCACCCCCTGGCCTTGGTGTCCCCTCCATCCTCGGTGTCTCCCCACTCCATCTCTAGTCTCTGTGTGTCCTTCCCCTCCGTCCCAAATGCGTCCCTCAACTCCATCCCCGATGCATCCCCTCCACCCTCGCTGTGTGTTCCACATCCATCCCCGGTGTCCTTTCTCTCCACCGTCGGTGTGTGCCCCAAATCCACCCGCAGTGTCCCCTCTATGCATCCCCAGTGTGTGTCCCCCATCCATCCCGGTGTCCCCCGTCCATTCCCGGTGTCCCCCTCTCCATGCCCGTTCCTACCTGCCGGGTGGCGGCCGGCGGTGCCTTGTTGCTGCCGTCGAAGGGGGGTGCGGGGGCGGCGCTGGCCTCGGCCCCCCCCGGGGGTCCCTTGATGGCGTTGGAGCTGAGGCCGCCCCCGGGAGCCGCCGCCCGCCCCGCCGGGGCCGCGCAGCTCAGCGCCGCCAGCAGCGCCACCAGCCCGCGCATCCTGGTCCCCGCCGTGCCCTCCCGTGCCCGCGGTGGCCCCGAGCAGCGGCTCCCTGCGCTCCTCCGCCGCCTTTATACCCCCGGGGCCGCGTCCTGCCCGCCCCCTCGGGGCGGGGGGCCCGCCGGCTGGGATTTCAAAGGCTTCCCGAGGGGGGGGCTGTGCCCACGAGCCCCCAAAACCGCCCCCACCCCGCCCCGAGGGCTCCGACATTGGTGGGGAGGGGGTTTCGCAATGACGAGGGCAGACCCCCCCTCTCCATTTCCCACCCCCCGCCCCTGGTCCCGGCCAGATGCTCCGCACGCCCCGACGCCGCCGCTGTCTCCAGCCGGGCGCGCCCGACGGAGGGACCTGGAAGGGGTGAAAGGGGGGGGGACTCCCCCTCATGCAACCCCTCCACGGTGGGCGGGAGCCGCGGTGGGTGCAGAGAGCCCCCCCGCTTTCTCCCGATGTCACAGTCGCTCCTTTGGTCTCCTCCAAGTCTCTCCCCACCGCCTCCCCCGCGTCCTTCCTGGCGCCAGCGCAGCCTCGCAGGAAGGGAGAGGGGCTGCTGCGCACCCCCCGCCCCGGGGGGGGATATGGGGACACCGGGGGGACACACGGCAGGACCCTCGCTGTCCTCTCCCATTGCTCTGACCCCAGATGGGAGGGGAGGGGGAGCTCCGGGCCCTTTGATGCGGGGAGATCAAAGGGGTCGCTTCTCTATTCCATCCCCATTATCCCCCCGACGCCCTCGAGGCGCCACCGCCCCCTTCCCCCCCAAACCCACGCAAACTCTCCAAAACTCCCTAAACCCCCAAACTCCCTAAATCCCCAACCCCCTCCTAAACCCGCCCTAAATCTCAGCCCCCAACCTCCCCCAAACCCCCCCACCCGCCCCCGTCGGGGCAGCGCGTCCCCAGGGCTCCCCCTGCCGGCCCCGCCGGGGCATCGCTCTCCACCCGCCGCCGGTAATTAACCCCGTTAATTGATTACCCCGGCTTTGCCCGGCGGCCGCCCAGAGCTCCCGCTTATTAATTTTGCAGGGGTGCTTTGAATGAGAATACAGGCGAAGAGCCCGAGCGGTGCCCCAGCACGGCTGAAATCCCCGGGAGGGTGGTGGGGGGAGGATTCCTGCCGCCGCAATTCCCTGCAATGAAACCCCGCTCTCCCGCTATTCCCTATCAGTTGTTCCAGCTCCAAATGGCTCCAGTCGGGCTAATAATTGCCTGGGAAGGTTTCGGCGAGCACTCCGGGCAGGTGCCGTCGGAAGCGGGAGGGCTGAGTCACGGCACCCCCGGCACAGCCCGCCCATCCCTGCCTTCCCTATTTTTAACCTGGGAGAAGGAGAGCCAGGCCTTGCCCCGAAATCCCAGTGTTCCCCCGGCAGTTTCAAGTGAGGGTCACGTCACCCTGGGGTTTTTATTGCCTGATTAACTTGGACCCGCGATTGCTGCATCCTGCAGAACGGTTTGGGATGTTTCCCAGCTCCTCCTTAGGCAGCTACCGCATTTATTTCCCTCCTGGGAGGATGTTTTCTTGCTCCTTTCCCCGGGTTTTTCTCACCTGAGTGTCATGGAATCGCCAGGACACCTTCCACTCTCCCAGGTTTCTCCAACCTGGCCTGGGACACTTCCAGGGATGAGGCAGCCACAGCTCCTCTTGGCAACCAGTTTTTTGACAGCAGTGTTGTTTTGAGTCACATCCTCTGCAGGGATGACGCAGCTCGTGCTGGGAACACGGTGCCTTCCCAGGACTCCCTTATATTGGCAGCAGTCAAAACACAAAAGGGAATTTTCCATCCGCGGGGAGGGAAGGTGCTGCAGCTGTGTTCACAGGGCAGTCTGGGCTGGAAGTGAGCTGTGGGGGTCACCTGGCTGGAGCAGGACCCCCTCGCCCCAGTTTAATCCCCGAGCAGTAGGACTCTGCCAGACTCAGCCTGGGCTGCGGAAGGAAACCCTTGACACGTTGTTCAAAAGTAATTATTTTTATTTCAACTCTATAAAGTATACAACAGGCACTCGGCAATTACAGCTGCAGGGAAAGTACAGAGCCGAACAAAAGCAGTTAAAGTTTATGAAAAAAACCCAAAGTTCTTCAGTCAACATCAAAAGAGTGCAAGCGGCCACCGAGCGGGGGGTGACCGACATCTGTCCGACAAACGAAACCTCTCCCGTGGAGGAAGAAAGCTGGGGAAAATAAGGATATAAACCAAAGGGTGGTGTAAAAAACAGCATAAGCTGGGGTTGGGCTGAGAAGGATTTTCCCCTTTGGCTGAGAAAGCTCTAAAGGCGCCCAAGTCTCGGTGTCAGGGCTGGGGAGCTCCGTGGGAGCACCGAGGGCTCATCCCGGCGGTGGCTGCGGGCGGAGGGGATCAGGGAGGGAAAAGCACTGCTGTGTGGAGTGGTGCAAACGAGCTACGCCTTCGCCTTGGGCTTTTAGGGCAAAAAAAAAAAAAGGCAGGTTGGGTTCACAGCGAGTGGATTTGTCCAGGCGGGAGATTCCCCGAGGGGGGTGTGTGAGACGGGACGGCACGGTGGGTGGGATCTGCAGGGCTCAGCGGAACAGGAATACCTGTCTACGGACTGCTAGGATGTCAGAGAGGAATTTGACCCGCACATAACATTTATACATTTCACAGAAATGACTCTGTATCTCATTAACAGATACACAGCTCTGGTACATTGAACAGAAATAAGAGAACGACTTCATCATTTCTGTAATTCGTCAGTTTTAGATAATAAAGGCATAGAAATCGGTCGCAGAAAGAACTGTAAAACGCAGCAAGCTAAGAAAGGACGACAGTTTGAGGTGTGTTTGTCTTTGTCATGCAGCATAACACCAAATTTGTCATTTTTTTTCTTTTTTAATAAGATGCCATGGATTTAAGGCACTTGCAACAATGCCAGATAGCTAGTCATGTTCTCAAACTATGGGACAGATGAGTTAACAGGACAGTTGACATAAAGTTTAATAATACTGACAAATATGACATTAATTCAAGTCTACTTTGAGCTAAAAAACATTACATTACAAATAAGGAAACGAAGGAATAATGCCATGGGGCTGGAAAAGAACAGAAAGTTCAATGTGTACCACAAAATACCGACACGAAAACACCTATTTACAGAAATATTCGCTCGTGGTCCTGTCGGTAAAGAAGAGTTTGCTGTGGGAAATGCGGTGCTGGAGAAGCGACGGATCAGCCACGTGGTCATGACACCAACCAACACCCTGGGCTGAAAGAGGGGAGCTGATTCCAGCTGGAATACGGGAGCCTAAATATGCCCTCATCCCACAGATTGAGGAAGGAGACAAAGAAATAAGGACACAAAGTGGAAACACAGAGACAATCCCTTGTTGTGTGTGTGTATATATATATATATATATATAAAGCAACTTAAATATATTATTATAAATGAAGGCTTTTATCATATTATACATAGTGTGCTGTTAATGCTTGGGAGAGGTGATGGGAGTCGAGTGAGGGGTTTGATATCAAAATAAACTCATATTCAGTACAGGTATCGATTCCTGTGCTTGGCACAGGGAAAAAGGGACAGGAGAAAGAAAAAGAGCCCGTTTCAAACCCTCCTTCCTGTCGTGTTTTTAGGTTGCCCCCCCAGGTCCTCGTGGTGCTTTCGCCATCTGGCAAACCCTTGCCTGCCACAGCATGAGTGTCATCATTTTGGGACAAACTCCTCTCTACATCCCTACAGAAAGTTCTCCTTGTTGAGTGAAACTCCAGGGGGAGGTGAGTGAAGACTTTGGCTGCCAGGCCTGTTGTCTAAGATGCCTGGTGGATATTTTAGCCCTAGTGCTCAGCCTTGGCTCTCAGTGTCATCCATCCCTCGGACAAAGGAGGAAAAGCCAGGAGTTACTGCCTTTTCCACAGGGTTTTGAAGGCAAACGAAGTTCCAGTGATTAAAGAACTGCAGGAATAACCTGAAGTGACTTTGCCAGCGGTGCTGCCTCACCCTCTGGAAAACAGGGAAGGAAATCCAGTGCCACAGACTGGTTCCAAAGGTGACCCAGCTCATGTTTGCTGGCAAACAGCAGGACATGGTCCATGCCGTCAAATAATACACTCTGGGAAGTTGGTTTCATCTGGAACACGGGAAAGAGCTGGGATTTAGCATCAGGGAGATAATATTTCACTGTTAAAGCAAACCTTTGCCACGGAGTATGTGGGAAAAAGTCCTTCTCAGCAAGAGCTGATCTTCCCACTCTCAGCTCTCGGCAGCACTGAGATGAAATGGGGCAGCACCCGCTCACTCATGGCAGGGGCTTGGAGTGGCAGGGTCTTTAGGGTCCCTTTCAACCCAAACCATTCCATCATTCTATGATTCTGTGACTTTTCGGGGTCCTACAGAGACTGAAACCTGATGGGATTTGTTGGGTAACAGGATACTTTAAGTCAGCAAACGGGCATCCAGGACAGAACTACAGCCTGTAAATCAGGGGAGACTGTATTCAAGCAAAGGAAAAGCAGTGGAAGTGAGGGAAAAGCATGTCCTGATAATGTTTTCCCCAGGTTGTTTTTCCACATGATGGGTCTGGCCATGACAGTGCCTTACACACACGATCACCGGGAACTCCCGCCGGCGACACAGAGACCTTGCACAGATGCATCCAATATTGCTTTTCCGTTTAATTCCATGGAGTTTCCTTAGCCTGGAGAGGCATTAGGATTCCATTTTTACAGGCAGTATTACACCAGAGCCAGCACACTGGTCCAGTACTTTGATTTTAATGAGCTCTGTAAGAAACACGGAGGAGATGGAGACGTGGAGTCATCCAAGAGCGATGGAGGACGATGCCTCTTGCTACATATCTCTCAAATGGGGGTCGAGTGAACAGCTGAGGGATGGACATAGCACCTTAAAAGGACATTACAGGTCTTATGTTTTCCCTTTGGGTTCTAAAAAGGTCAAAGTTGAGCTTAATTTTATGCCTAATTGATAAGACCAGTGGGCTGCTGTCACTTTGTTACAGGAGTGTGATCCAAGCACTGTTTTATATG